TATCACCAAGAAAAATTAGAAGCTTATTTTTCAAATAATATAAATAGATAATTAGATAATGAAGAGAAAGCTGTGCGAAAACGTGGGTGCATTAATTGTAATTGCATACTTTCTCTATTATACCACGGTGGTGATAAGAGTCATGTCAAAATGACCATGGGTTGTGTCCAGAAGTGCTGCTTTTAACTTTTTCTATATACTTTAATTTTATAGTTTGTTTTTAATATTCTTCTAATCTATTAATAATATTAGCCAATATTTTTACTGTGATATTCTTTGTTTTCTGTTTTCTATTGCTGCTGTGTCAAATGAATTTCTCCTTACGGGGATCAATAAAGGAATTATCTTATCTCATCTCATCTCACAGTGTAATTCAGTGTAATAAAATCCCATATTTCTCCGTTTTGTTGACAGATCTGTGTATTCAACTGAAGCTCCTAGAATTAAAACACGAACATATGCTATGTATACATGCAAGTCCCAGTGCTGGTGGTACGTCTGCAGCAGGAGTCAGGTGGCCAAATGAAGCAGAGACCTACCTGTTCCAGCAGGTAGACGAGCTGATCTCTGGCCAGCCTCTTGAGCAGAGAGAAGTCAGGGAGCTCTGGGGAATCTCTCCTGGCACTGTGAGCCATCCTGAGCCACAACAGGGACAGGACACCCGTCACTCATCCACTGCACACACAACACATAACCTACTACTCCGGAAACAGACTGTAATCAGCAGAAAAACACACACAAGAGGCAAAAATCTGCCTACTGGCTGTGTTAGCTCGTTGGCTAAAAACACATCCTTCAAAACACATGAATGTGCAAGAGTAACGCGAGTGTCAAAACGCTGACACTAACATGGAAATAATGTCACAAAAAGATCCAATAAACGATCAAATTAAGCAGTGCATATCAGTCAAAACGACAGCAAAAAAGGCGCTTAGCTGATTTTAGAAACTACCTGCTTCCGTAGCGAAACAAGCGGAATCGATCCCCTCGAACAGCTGTTTCCCTCCGGACATCATAAACAACGGACTGTGTTACACTTCTAGGAGCAGAGACGTTTGAGTCCGACTCACCTGACGCTTGTTGTTTTCCTCCCGTCACTCACATTTACATGCAGCTTTGTCCACCATGAATACAGACGCAGTTTTGTTGTTAGAGACAGTTCATTTCGCCGCAGAGAAGCATCGTAACCAGCGACGTAAAGACGTAGAGCAGACGCCGTACGTTAATCACCCCGTTGGTACGTACGACTCTTTCTATCGCTGCGAGGCCTTCAGGTGCTGCTCGGAAATCTCCCAACGCTGGAGAAATGGAAATTAAAAACTGGATTTAAGTGTTTTAAAATAGTTTTCAGACGTTTTAATTCGTGGTGTCGAGTGATTTTGTGACTCGGGGTTCTGGGATAAATATATAACTTTAGAAATAACGTTAATGTTGGACATTTAATTAAATTAATTTTAGTTATTAAGAGCGATGCATTGGCTCATATGGGCTTGTTGCACAGCAGACATTTTGTAGTGTCGTAGCAGGAAACTCACAGGTGTAGCAGGTAAATGATGAATGCATTCCGTTCAGGTGAGGTCCTGCTGGTTTACTGGCACTGTGACACTGAAGAAAACTGAGCCATCTTTACTGTGATTGTCATCCTTTAAGTCCACTTGTGTTTTTCCTGCTGTGAAAAGTCAGAAGATATGTCAGTGTTGGTGTTCATGTTGGTTGATAAGTAACAAAATATTTAGGATTTGTATCAAGATTGTTGTTTATGTTTAAGAGAATTTCATAGGCTGATATATTGTCTTTAAAAGCCTTTAATTTTGATATTGTATTGGCCTCGGTTGGGCCATAATAAACATCATAATAATAATAACAATCATGTTTATATATTGATGCTACATTGCTTGGCATTTCAAATGTACTTAAATACTTCACTGTGGTACCACAAGGATCCATATAAGGACCTTAATCAGTTCTTATTTATACTACATATATCTTCTGTCCCCATTTTATTTGCTGATGATACCGAAATTATTTTAT